ATATAACATACAGATATGTGTGTGTGTGTGTGTGTACGTGTGAAAGTGTGTGTTTTTCCTGTAGTGAAAACTGTTTCCGTTTATGACATGATTTTCACAGACAATGCTTTATGTAGTTTGATGTAGCCAAAAGTAATCATTTGCTAACTTTCTGTGGAACTTCCGATTTCCATTTAGGAACCCTACCTCTTTTTATACCACACAAATTAGTCGAGCTGTGGGGATTCGGAATTCTAGGTGGGGGAGGATAGATAATATGTATAACACAGTCTTCATTTCTGTATGACACAAAAAAATGCAAACAATGTGATTTTGCTATGATCTGCTTATCCACAAGCAGTACCGCGTGCACAGTCATCGCCGTTGACTCCGCTGCGGTGAAGAGGTCATCAAACTGTACCATAAATCTTGCTCATGTTACATACCTAAAGTAAGGAAAAAATTGGTTTCGTTATACTGAAAATATATACACATCTATATTAAAAACAAACATAAAAAGAATCTGTTAATAAATTGAAAGAAAAACAGACCAGTGTTAATAGAAAATGGATTCAAAGAAAACTGTTCATCCTATTTTCAAGGATACACTCAAATAAAAATAAAATATTGGTACTTTCCCCTTGGCGCCCACCACCGTTTAGAATTGCATTTGAGAATACTCATAATGGTTTTATAGTGAAGTACAGTAGGTATAATAAAAAAGAAGAAGAAATAAAGAATGTACATCGCGGTCTTTAAGTCTTCAGACAGCTAAATCTTCATTTAAGCACTGAAGTTATTAGACAATCCCAGGGACTCCCTGGACTTGGGAATTGATTTCCGATTTTATTATCATTACATTATGCAGATCTTAAAGCTTGAATATTTTAGTAACTGGCCCTATACTTTTTGTTTTGTTTTCTTTTACTTGCAGTGCTAAAGAGAGTAATTTAATTCAAGAAATACTGGCTTGCCTTACCCTTTTTCTTTAATATTTAATACTAGCTCTCCAAATGGCCGTATTTCATAAACAGCAAAATTATTCCTTTCCACACCCTTTGCCTGTATGAATCGAAACAGTGGGTACCCCTGCAAAATTTTGCATCCTTGAATTGTTACCATCATGTGATGGACATACTTTGGACCATAATCTGACATCATGCGAGTTTAAGAGAATCTGCGTGACAGCCATCAAATATGTATATATATATATACATGTATGTATATACGTACACATATACATATATATATATATATATATCAGATATGCACATACACATACACAAACATATATATATATATATACATATAAAATACATACACACACACACACATGTATATAGATAGACACACACACACACACACGCGCGCGCGCGCGCGCATGCACACGCACATATATATATGTATGCTTATTTATATATCATCGTCATCATCAACCTGAATCAATCCAGACGTAGGCCTCTCCCAATCTTTTCCATTTTTTTGTTTTTTGTTTCCAGTTTTGGACTCTTGTTATTGGTCTGACTCTTGGCCTCCTTATGTTATGTATAACCAGGCTGTTACTTTCTTTGTTCATCTGTCGTCCTGGCTCCGACATATATGACCTGCCCATTGCCATTTCTTCTTTTTGATGTTCTCAAGTATATCTTCCACTTTATCTGTTCCCTGATCCACGTCGCCCTCATCCGATCTCTTAGGCTAATTACCAGCATCAACCTTTCCATCTCTCTCTGGCCACTTACTAATTTCCTCTCCAGAAATTTGGTCGTAGTCCATGTTTCTGATCCATAGGTCATAACTGGGAGGACGTATTGCTTAAAGACTTTTCTTTTTAAAGTAATGGCAAGGAACCTCTTAATATGCAGCTGCGTCTTCCGAAGGAGCTCCAGCTTTACTTCCTCTTCGCTAGATGTGCTTGTCTGAATGAGTGCCCTAGATATGTATACTTGTCCACTACCTCTCGTGCTCCGTGTGTGTGTTGTGTGTGTGTGTGTGTGTGTGTGTGTGTGTGTGTGTGTGTGTGTGGTGTGTGGTGTGTGTGTGTGTGTGTGTGAGTGTATATATATATATGACATATATATATATATATATATATATATATATATATATATATATATATATATATATATATATATATATCGCTACCTCATTGCAAGAGGGTCGTAACTCGAAATTCCTGATTTTTTAGGAGACGCATTTGAAAATTGCTAAGTCCTATGAATTTGATCATGTTTCACAAAACAACAAAACTTACCATCTTTATTAGGTGAATATAAATATGTATAAATATATATGTATATATCTATATATATATTAATATATATATATATATGTATATATATATATATATATATATATATATGACATATATAATATATATATATATATATATATATATATATATATATATATATACATATATATATATATATATATATATATATATATATATATATATGACATATATAATATATATATATACACACCCATATATATATATATATATATATATATATATATATATATATATATATATATATATATATACATATATATATATATATATATATATATATATATATATATATATATATATATACATATATATATATATATATATATATATATATATATATATATATATGATATATATATGTCTATATGTATATATAATATATATGACATATATGTGTGTATATATTTGCATATAACATACAGATATGTGTGTGTGTGTGTGTACGTGTGAATGTGTGTGTTTTTCCTGTAGTGAAAACTGTTTCCGTTTATGACATGATTTTCACAGACAATGCTTTATGTAGTTTGATGTAGCCAAAAGTAATCAGTTGCTCACTTTCTGTGGAACTTCCGATTTCCATTTAGGAACCCTACCTCTTTTTATACCACACAAATTAGTTGAGCTGTGGGGATTCGGAATTCTAGGTGGGGGAGGATAGATAATATGTATAACACAGTCTTAATTTCTGTATGACGCAAAAAAATGCAAACAATGTGATTTTGCTATGATCTGCTTATCCACAAGCAGTACCGCGTGCACAGTCATCGCCGTTGACTCCGCTGCGGTGAAGAGGTCATCAAACTGTACCATAAATCTTGTTCATGTTACATATCTAAAGTAAGGAAAAATTGGTTTCGTTATACTGAAAATATATACACATCTATATTAAAAACAAACATAAAAAGAATCTGTTAATAAATCGAAAGAAAAACAGACCAGTGTTAATAGAAAATGAATTCAAAGAAAACTGTTCATCCTATTTTCAAGGATACACTCAAATAAAAATCAAATACTGGTACTTTCCCCTTGGCGCCCACCACCGTTTAGAATTGCATTTGAGAATACTCATAATGGTTTTATACTGAAGTACAGTAGGTATAATCAAAAAGAAGAAGAAATAAAGAATGTACATCGCGGTCTTTAAGTCTTTAGACAGCTAAATCTTCATTCAAGTTATTAGACAATCCCAGGGACTCCCTGGACTTGGGAATTGATTTCCGATTTTATTATCATTACATTATGCAGATCTTAAAGCTTGAATATTTTAGTAACTGGCCCTATACTTTTTGTTTTGTTTTCTTTTACTTGCAGTGCTAAAGAGAGTAATTTAATTCAAGAAATACTGGCTTGCCTTACCCTTTTTCTTTAATATTTAATACTAGCTCTCCAAATGGCCGTGTTTCATAAACAGCAAAATTATTCCTTTCCACACTCTTTGCCTGTATGAATCGAAACAGTGGGTACCCCTGCAACATTTTGCATCCTTGAATTGTTACCATCATGTGATGGACATACTTTGGACCATAATCTGACATCATGCGAGTTTAAGAGAATCTGCGTGACAGCCATCAAATATGTATATATATATACATGTATGTGTATACGTACACATATACATATATATATATATATATATATATATATATATATATATATATATATATATATATCAGATATGCACATACACATACACAAACATATATATATATACATATAAAATACATACACACACACACATGTATATAGATAGACACACACAGACACACACACACACGCGCGCGCGCATGCACACGCACATATATATATGTATGCTTATTTATATATCATCATCATCATCAACCTGAATCAATCCAGACATAGGCCTCTCCCAATCTTTTCCATTTTTTTGTTTTTTGTTTCCAGTTTTGGACTCTTGTTATTGGTCTGGCTCTTGGCCTCCTTATGTTATGTATAACCAGGCTGTTACTTTCTTTGTTCATCTGTCGTCCTGGCTCCGACATATATGACCTGCCCATTGCCATTTCTTCTTTTTGATGTTCTCAAGTATATCTTCCACTTTTATCTGTTCCCTGATCCACGTCGCCCTCATCCGATCTCTTAGGCTAATTACTAGCATCAACCTTTCCTTCCCTCTCTGGCCACTTATTAATTTCCTCTCCAGAAATTTGGTCGTAGCCCATGTTTCTGATCCATAGGTCATAACTGGGAGGACGTATTGCTTCAAGACTTTTCTTTTTAAAGTAATGGCAAGGAACCTCTTAGTATGCAGCTGCGTTTTCCGAAGGAGCTCCAGCTTTACTTCCTCTTCGCTAGATGTGCTTGTCTGAATGAGTTGCCCTAGATATGTATACTTGTCCACTACCTCTCGTGCTCCGTGTGTGTGTTTGTGTGTGTGTGTGTGTGTGTGTGTGTGTGTGTGTGTGTGTGTGTGTGTGTGTGTGTGTGTGTGTGTGTGAGTGTATATATATATATATATATATATGTATATATATGCACGCATACATGTGTATGTGATATTTGTGTATACACATACAAGCACATACGCATATAAGTGTTTATGTAAGAGTGTGTGAGTGCGCGTGTACGTGCGCAAGCATACGAGACACATTCTCCATTTGGAATATGAAATATAATTGCATTTTTTTGATCAGTCCCTGCATTGTTGCTAATCCAATATAACCATTTGTCAACTAGGTAATGTCACAATCAAAGGATTAAATGCCTGTTATTTTTGTCAGTAAAAGTTAAGAACACAATTTATATTACTTGTTAACAGCTCTAATGACTGCAATTCTCTGACTCATTTTCTAAAGAGCACTTATTCTAAACGGTAATTACTGTTAAGTAGCAGTCAGTAATATTGGGAAGTAATTTACCGCTCCAGTTTATGTCTAAAAGCTTTTAACGTTCCATATCTTTGATCGCGAAACTAGATCGCTGATCAAGATCGTAAAATTAAAGGGGGATCAAATATTCACAGTTATAGTCATTTTCTGTGACTACTGATTTGTATGAATATGTATGTACGGATGAATATGTATGTACGGATATTTATGAATATTGATATATTTTGTTTAAGTTATGAACGATAATAAGATAATAAGTTTCCTTTCTAGTAACTCTAGGCATGTCTGAATGGAAAAAGAGTCCACAGAAAATGACCTGAAAAATAATTTGCCAGTTACTAACCCTCCCTTTCTATCTTCAGCAAGATGGCAATGCAGTTAACTTTAAGAAAGATAAAGCACGTTCTCATCCTCACACTACTACTAGAAAACCCTGTCATCGAAGGCCAAGTAACCTTCAGTAGCAAGCATGACCTCGTGACCCGGCCCGCGCTCTCCCGAAGCCAAGGTCACCCAGAAGACCGAGGGACAGAACTTGTAAGTGAGATCGTGTCGAGGACGGTGACCGATTACCTTTCGGCTTGTCATCTTGTGCTTGTGACTACAAGACGATCGGATTTCCCTGCGTCTCTGCTGAGGTGAGATCAATTTAGGATTTGATTTTGGTGTGGAGGTGCTTATCGTTTAAGCAGCGTCGCTTCGGCATGCATATATATGTAGATAGATGTACGTGTATGTAAGTATGTAGATAGATAGGTAGATAAATATTAATAAATAAATAGATAGGTAGATAAATAAAGAGCTAGATTGAGTGATAGACAGATAAATGGATATCCAGGTAAATATATATATATATATATATATATATATATATATATATATATATATATATATATATATACACACACACATACATGCATATATACATATAAATAGCATACCTAACAGATATTTACACATGAGGAACTAAGTCCCCCATCATAATGGAACATGAAATAACCCATAGCAAGGCAAAAGCATCTTCTACCCTTCTCCCCATTCCAGGCGAGGCTTAGGAACAGGCTGGGTGATGGTGCAGGCCGAGAGTGCCATGGCAGGGGCGCCCTCCTCGGGAACCGCCCTTCTGCAGGGACTCTGGGGCGCCGCCGATGCATCCTGCAGGGCGATTGTGGTTGACTTGATGAATGATAATGATCGTTCTGCGTTCAGGTGATAACGGGGAAAAGTCTATAAAATTCTCAGCCAGTATACGAAGGAGAACTTAGTGCATGAATTCTGTGATTTTTTTCTTTTTTCTCCTTGTCTTCTCTTTAGTGTTTTTTTGTTATTTTTCTTCTTTGCTAGAATAATAGGGTTGCAAATAATGAACTTCTTGGCAGCCTACCGTTGTTTGAGATCATCGGCAAGATATTTTTATTATTTGATTTATCATGAAACTAATGTAAGTATTGGTCTTCAGTGAATATTTTACGTTTGACTTCTTCTTAGAAATGATAAAAGCAACAACTACAGGGAGTCGCATTGTTTATTTTTGTTCATTACTCAAATAACGTGATAGAACTGTGTTTGTTTCATTTGTATTCGCACATATTATGTTTACTCTGCTTTGTTATATTCACGGAAATTCTAAACTAAGTTAGTGAATTTGACTCAGAAATATAACAAACACACACACGCACACGCATACCCACACACACACAAAAACACACACACAAACACGAACACACACACACGAACACACACACACACACACACACACACACACACACACACACACACACAAACACGAACACACACACACACACACACAAACACGAACACACACACATAAACACAAACACACACACACACTGCTTCATTACAGAATTCCCCTCTTACCCTCCCCCCCCTCCCCCAGATTCCTCGAAGCGGCCGGCCTCTCCGAACAACCCAAGACCCGAGTCCTCCTTCTAGGACCAGAGACCAGGGCTGCGGGTTCTCTCCTTCACCCTGCTCTTAAGAATAGTGTCTACGCGGTCTATTTCTCTATGGTGGAAAGTAATGGTATGGAGTTTCTAGTTGTGGTTTTATTTTTTGTTTTGTATTATTGAGGTATAAAGATAGAGTCATTTCCTTGAAGAAAGAGTTTGAATAATTTGGAGACATTTATGATTTCTCACTTCTTCCAAATGTATATATATATGTATCCTGTATTTAGGGTAATCAATTTCATTTCGATTTTTCTTTTTTATATCTATTTCCAATCTATCATTTACTTACTTTACATTGCCGCATTTCTAACCTAACCTGACCCAACCAAAGAGGAAAAATTAAATTCGATAGACACCAGAAATCTATCCATCACGTCCTTCTCTTTAGCAAATTCATCTTGGATTGAGGTCTTTCGTCGGTGCCTCTACTGCCGAGGGGGGGAGGCCGGGGTAGTGCCGCTAGGTCCTTGGCACTCTCACGAAGCCACGCCCACTCAAGAAGAATTATTCCCAGGTAAACTGCTAGACAAGGTAGAATCGGTGTTGTGTTAAGTATGCAATGTGGATGTCTATCAGATGATTAGTTACTGTGAATATATAATGTTATTCCTATGAACAATCAGAAGGGGGGGTGATAACACAATTGCATTGATAATAATTTTGATAGTAATGATATAGATGAAAGATGGTAATAATAATCTTCTTAATGAAATTCATAGTGGCAATTACAACAATAATTACAGTTATCATAACACAAATAACAATGAAAATGAGACAACAATGATAAAGCTATTAGTCATAATGATAATACAAATAATGGGTAAGATCACATCAATAAAATCATTATCATAGCAAGTTTCTTCCTCATCACCTTCCTAAAATTTACCTCTCTCTATGTACATATTTCTAAACAAAGAAAACTGAGAGAGAAAAAGAGAGAGAGAGAGAGAGAGAGAGAGAGAGAGAGAGAGAGAGAGAGAGAGAGAGAGAGAGAGAGAGAGAGAGAGAGAGAGAGAGAGAGAGAGAGGAGAGAGAGAAAAAAAAATAAAGAGAGCGAAAGAGAGAAAGAGAAAGAAAGAAAGAGAAAGACAAAGACAAAAAGGAGGCTAACCATTTAACGAACATTCCAGACGAATTTCGCAACTTCTACGGCCACAAATTTCGCGTTGTAACTCTGCGTTATTTTCCGTTCATCGAATACACGAGAGAGAGTGACGCGCCGGGGACCAAGGTATCTCCGAGGGACTGTCTCGATCTCCGCATTCTTTCCACGCTCGCTTCACGCAACAATTTCACGTGAGTTTGCTGTTTAGTCTGATTTTATTTTTATGCTTATTTCTATCTCTACTTCTTTATCTCTGTCTTTGTTTTTTGTTCTTTGTTAGTTCTTCTTCTTGTTCTTTCTTCCTTTTCTTTTCTTTTTTCTTGTTCTTTCCTTTCTTCTTTTTCTTTTCTTTTTCTTCTTTTTTTTTCTCCCTCTCTCATAGGTAGCTAGCTAGATAGAAAGATAGACAGATAGTTAGATTGATGGATATATACATATAAACAGATAGATAGATAGATAGATAGTTAGATAGTTAGATGAATAGACAGATGGATAGTTAAACGAACGATAGGCAGACGAGTAGACAGACAGACAGATAGCAAGGCAGATGAAAACACACACACACACACACACACACACACACACACACACACACACACACACACACACACACACACACACACACACACATACATACACACACACACATACATACACATACACACACACACACACACACAGCCATAAAAACAGATACAGATAGACAGATCTACAAGACTTACATCCCTACTTCCTCCCCCCCCCCCCTTCAGCTTCGAGATCCGCGAGCCCCTGGACGGCGAGTGGGGGGTCCCGCGCGCCGACACCGGAAACTGGTCGGGAAGTGTCGGGACGTTGCAACACGACCTCGCCGACTTCTCCATGAACCTGACACCGACACGAGACAGGATCCGTGTCATACAGTTCTCTCGCGTCTACGTGTCGGATCCTTACGTGCTTGTGTCGGCCAAACCGGGGATCCTGCCGCCCATCTTCGCCATTGTGAGGCCGTTCACAGGCGAGTGGGAGATGGCGCTGTTGTTATTATTGTTATTATTATTATTATTATTATTATTATTATTATTATTATTATTGTTGTTGTTGTTGTTATTGTTTGTTGTTGTTGCTGCTATTGTTGTTGTTGTTATTATTGTTATTATCATCATTGTAATTATCAATACTATTATCATTATTATTATTATCACCATCATCATCATCATTATCGGTCTACTCATGTCTATTGAGAATTTAATGCCAATAGTTATCATCATAAACATCATTATTGCTTTTATTTGTCATTATACTTATGACAGTTGTTCCCATTACTATTTAGCTAGTCGGCAACTCAGCCTCTTGTTTTTCTTTGCCATGCTACATTTTTTAAAATACTAATTTACTAATCTATTAGCAGTGTTAAGAATATATTTTTTATTGCGTGAAATGAAATAAAGATACATAAGTAAAATATCAAATATTCGTGATATGATGAAGTAAGAAAATTCAGCCGAATTGCCAACTCAAGACATGAGATTATTTCCTCATTCATTCATTGTTTTTAGTCGTCGTTGGTAATATTATTGCGATCATTAATAGAGCACAAAAAACATAATTAACGTTATTCACAGCTGATGTATGGTCCTCCGTTGCTGCTTGTACACTGGTCACGGGCGTCGTGCTGTGGGCGTTGACGTGGGCGTGGAAGCGTTTGTTTGGTGGGCGTGGCTTCAAGCTGAGTGACGCCCTAATGTACCCGTGTAGTCTCCTTTTGGAGGATCCGCCCACTGAACCGCCCACTGCTACCTCGGCTAGGGTGGGTTATGTGTGTATGTATGTGTGTGTGTGTGTGTGTGTGTGTGTGTGTGTGTGTGTGTGTGTGTGTGTGTGTGTGAGTGTGAGTGTGTGTGTGTGTGTGTGTGTGTGTGAGTGTGAGTCTGTGTGTGTGTGTGAGTGTGAGTGTAAGCGTTAGTGAGAGTGTGAGTTTGTGTGTCTGAGTGTGTATACACGTGAGCGTGTAAGTTATTTATAAATGTCTGTGTGTATATCCGCATGTTTATATATTCATACATGTGCAGGTGTATTTGTGTATTTTGTGTGTGTATGTAAACTCAATTTATCTTTGTTATTGTCCTTTCACTCTCTATCAACATTTGCTTATCACACCAATCTTTCCTGATTACATTTTTAACATAGCCAATGCGTTCCAGTTTCTATTTGTTGATGTGTCTTTGCTGTGTACATAACTTGTAATGTAAGTCCGTTTATTACTTTTCTCTCATAAAATATCTTCTCTTTCGTTGAACACAGCAAAACACTGAAACAAAATTATAGGAAATATCAATGTGTTTTTGGAATTAAAAATAGGAATTAGGTTTATTGTGAACAATGGGCTAGTTTTGACGGAGCTGAACTGCCTTTTTATAATTTCATATAAAACAATGTTGCTGTTATAAGTACATAGAACATATCCAAATGGTATTATCAATAGTGGCAGTAGCTATGATAATAATCATAATGATAACAATAATAATGAGGATACAGAAAATGAAAATAATAATGATAATGATGACGATAATAACAATAATAATTACAATAATAGTAAAGATGATGATGATAATAATGGTAATGGTAATAATAATAATAATAATAATAGTAATAATAATAATGATAATAATGATAATAATAATAATAACAATAATAATAATAATAATAATAGTAATAGTAATAATGATAATAACAATGATAATGATAATAATAATAGTAATGATAATGATAATAATAATAAAAAATAATGATAATGATAATGATAATAATAATGATAATGATAATGATAATGATAATGATAATGATAATGATAACGACAATGGTAATAATAATAATGATAATAATAATGATAATAATAATAGTAATAATAATAATAATAATAATAATAATAATAATAATAATAATAATGATAATAGTAATAATGATAATATAATAATAATAATAATAATAATAATAATAATAATAATAATGATAATAATAATAATAATAATAATAATAATGATAATAATAATAATAATAACAATAACAATAACAATGATAAAAGATAGTATAAGGAACAACAACAACAATGAGAATAACAACAACAGTAAGGAGTTTGAACCAAAAAGTAACCATCGGAGCCTCTAATACAAAAAGAAAAAAAAGAATCAAAACAAACACACGAACCGAGCATGTAAACAAAACATACCTTCCACCTCACGCAATATACCACGACAGGTACTACTAGGATGGTGGCTGATGGCGTGCGTGGTCATCGGAACAGCTTACAGGTCGTCTCTGGTCGCTTTCCTGACCGTGGAGGGCAAGACGCCTCCCATTAACAGCTTCGAGGACCTAGTTAAGCGACCTGGATGGCGCTGGGGGATGAAACCAAGTACAGGTTCCTTCTTTGCGTATTTCAACAGCAGTAAGGACCCTATAACGCAGCTGGTTAACAAGGGAATGGAGGTGAGTGAGGGGGGAGGGAGCTAGGTGTGTCATGAGAGGGTGTATGTCTGTCATGAATGGATGAGTGTGTCATGAGAGGGTGTATGAGGGAGTGTCATGAATGGATGAGTGTGTCATGAGATGGTGTATGAGGGAGTGTCATGAATGGATGAGTGTGTCATGAGAGGGTGTATGAGGGACTGTCATGAATGGATGCGTGTGTCATGAGAGTCTTGAATGGATGAATGTGTAATGAAAGTGTGTATGAGTCATGGATGGATGAGTGTGTGTCGTGAGAGGGTGTATGAAAGGGTCATGAATGGATGAGTGTGTGTCATGAGAGGGTGTATGAGGGAGTGTCATGAATGGATGAGTGTGTCATGAGAGGGTGTATGAGGGAGTGTCATGAATGGATGAGTGTGTCATGAGAGGGTGTATGAGGGAGTGTCATGAATGGATGAGTGTGTCATGAGAGGGTGTATGAGGGAGTGTCATGAATGGATGAGTGTCATGAGAGTCTTGAATGGATGAATGTGTAATGAAAGTGTATATGAGTCATGAATGGATGAGTGTGTGTCGTGAGAGGGTGTATGAGAGGGTCATGAATGGATGAGTGTGTGTCGTGAGAGGGTGTATGAGAGGGTCATGAATGGATGAGTGTGTCGTGAACGAATCGTGAATAATGATATGATTTTCATGAGTGGCAGATGATTGTGTCATTGTTTTATAGTCAGTCTTAAGGTGGAAATTATTATTTTTTAATCAGTCAAAGGTTTTATTTACTTGTCACCGATTCCTTTATTTTTGCTGTTGAATCTCATACAAACTGTGACTGACGCTGAAGCAGACGTAGACAC